TTACATAGTTGTCTTGGGTTTCCTACGTTTGTTGTGGTTCTTTCTAGGCTTTTTGGGTTTATTATGGTTTCTTAGGTTTCTTAGTTTTTTTTAGGATTCTTAGGTTTCTTAAATTTCTTAGGTTTCTTAGGATTTTTAGATTTCTGAGATTCCTTAGGAGTCTTAGGTTTTTTAGGTTTTTTAGGTTTCTCACGTTTATTTGGTTTCTTTGGTTTCTTCGGTTTCTTAGAGTTCTTAGGATTCTTAGGGTTCTTAGGATTCTTAGGGTTTCTTAGGTTTCTTTTTCTTAAGTTTGTTAGGTTTTCTTCGGTTTTCTTAAATATGATTTTCTTTTGTTTTCATTGGTATTCTTAGGTTATCCTTAAATAATTTGTAATATGAAGATTTCTTTTCTTTATTTATTTTTTCCTGGGTGACCTACTGTTAGGTTATCAGTAGCCTCCCGGTAGGCTACGTGACTTTGTATCATCGAAAGGGACGCATGATGGTGACAGTAACACTTCAAGAACTGCTTAAACCAATTGTGCGTGCAAAATGATATGAACGCGGCCATATGCTATCACTTTTATGATTCAGTGGTTTTAAGTAACCGATAAATTTGTATCGCAAGTACATTTTCTTGTGAATCAAACTAAAATGAGCGTCGGCCGAAATGTACTGTGGCCGAAGTGATCAGCGGCCGAACTGAATGACGGCCGAAATGAATGACGGCCGAAGTGAATGGCGGCCGAAAAACTTTGGCCGAAATGAACGCGGCCGAAATGAAAACGGCCGAAGTGATCGGACGCCGATATTTGGGCTAGATATTTGGCTATTTTACACGATAGAATGCGCTGCGGAGTGCGAAGCTTAAAACTGGAAAACAGAGCTGACTCAAAACTTTCATCATTTTAAACATATTTTCGGAATTCGAATTAAATTGGACATGGTCGTAGACATTTTACACGTTTCAGGTTTGCTAGTCAGTAACAACGCCTGCGTTCAAGCACACGTCAGAGAGTGCAAAGGTTCAGTTTCAGAATTTCTCTGCCAACACAGCAGCAAACAGGTTTGGCAAAGCGCATGGCTGACGAAGACATGTGGTAGCGAGCAACTCTTCAAGAGCACACAGTTGTCACAAAACCGAATCGATCATAGGATGACTTACCAATAACCGCAATAAGCATTCATAGGTTGAGTGATACAAATGGTAGTGGCGTGCCAATGGTTGTTGCTCCATGATGAGCACCTTGCGCTCTCTCAGTATTTGTCAGCCTTTTATTGGTCGTCTATACATCAAATGTTTCATGACACTGCTATCTTAACAGTGCCAAAAGCTAATAACAACACGAAGAAGCAAAAAATTATTACGAACGCTTCTGGATTAACGTTTTCTTTTCCCGATGTATCGAATGCAGGCTTCCAAGAGAACAGTCACTAACGTAAGCAAGACTTTTGCTGTTTGTGGCCTTGTTATACTGTTTTCGTTATCGCTCATGGGTGACAATGGTTCGAGAACACCTGCTCGATCTTCTGCGCTTCACAGCGCACCCCCTTCTGTTTTTGAAGACATCCAACGTAAGTTTACTTTCCTGTTAATTTACTGATCAGTCTTGCTGCTTTAGTTTTGCTCGCTTTTTTTGTAAATTTCCGGTTCTTCGTTTCGCTTAACGATGGAATCAGAGTGCATTGTAAGAAAAGGTTTCCTTTAATCAGTAATTAACTTCAAGTGCGAAACATATAACTGTATCCCGCCTTGGTTCTCAATGGCTACCGATCACTTCGGCCGTGTTCTTTTCGGCCAAAGTTTTTCGGCCATTCACTTCGGCCGCCGCTCACTTCGGCTGCGGCTGCAGTTCATTTCGACCGACTCTTATTTTGGTCTAATTTAGGCAAGAAAACGTTACTTTCGATACGTTACTGCGTTGCATTGGTTCCATAATCTTTCGAATAAATCAAGAATGACCGAAAAATAACTTAAGAATAACTTAGAGTAACCTAAGAAGAGTACAAATAACCTAAGACAACATAAGAAGCTTACGAGGACCTAAGAAAAGCTAAGAAACCTAAGAAAACCTAAGAAAACCGAAGAAAATCTAAGAGCCTAAGACTGACCCGATAGAACCATCGAAACCTAAGAAAACTTACCCTAAGCAGACAAACCTAAGAAACCAAAAAAAACCGAAGATCACCTCAGAAAACCTAAGAAGCTTAACAATAACCTAAGAAAACCTAGGAAAACCTAAGCAATATAACAAAAACTTGGGAAATTGAAGATGGCCAAATGTCCTGCTGCCGAAATGAACGTTGTAAGATCCTTATACAATATAAGCATGCATCCACTTTTTCCCCGGATACCATTTCAATCTAGATAAGGAATAAAAGCAGGGTTGTGGAATTCCAGCGCGCACTAAACTACCAATTATTTAACGGCATCAGCGGTTTTCCTTTTACCGAAAACGAGAAGAAGAGAATCTTTATCAAACTACATTTACTACATTTCCAAGCGTTCGGTCATGTGGGACCTTGGGGAGCGCACTCATCACAGTAAGATGGAGGTAGATTTTCTCCTGGCATTTGGCAAGATGCCATTCCGAACATTTCACTTGAGTGGAAAATATTTTGTTTTCATAGCCTCGTATCAAACGAGGCTATGAAAACAAATGGAATGGCTTTTATTTTGTACACGTACGAGTCGAATGTCTACAAAATAAAAGCTAGCGAAATTACGGCATCAGTAAAGATTCCGTACCAACGGTGCATATTTGTGCACCACTGGTGCATGCACCGTGTTTTGTGCGCCATGAACTTGACCACTACTTACCTCACAATTGTTAGTTATCGAACGATAGACCATCGTCGCCCCTTCGCCGCTTGCTACTCTGCCCCATATATGCCCCTTATGGTGCATCTTTATGTAAATTATGGTGCATATTTTTGTGCACCACTGGTGCTTGCATTTACCAGTATTTACGCTTCTTTAAATTATTTCAGTTTGTTTATCGACGTCGAGCCAGTTCACGTCGTGATCGAGCACTGGGGCATATTATAGGTATTACTTTGCATTACTAAAACTCTGACCCATAAACCAATTAAAACTTAAAGGCTTAGTTCAATAACTTCCATTGTTCTATACTCAATCGCAGTCGTACACGGGCATTACTAAAACCTGGACACAGCAGGCAGGCAGGCAGGCAAGTGGCAGGCAGGTGGCAGGTAACCGACAGGCCACCGGCAGGCAGCTGGCAGGACACAAGCGACACTCGGCAGGACAGTGGAAGGCAGTTAACAAATTCCGCTAAGGCTAAATTTCAAAATTAGTCATGCTGAGTTGTTCATCACCGACTTTTCGTTAACTTTTTGTCGAGTATCTGGAACCTTTAATAAGTATCATGGTTGTCGAGTCGTCGACCGACACTATCTTGACCGCACTACGTCGACCGTCACGAAGGCGACGACTAATACAACATAGGAAAAAATAAGAAAACATAAGAAAACCATCGCGCTAATTCCTTAACGGACACCCATATTATTTCCCGCTAATTCCTTAACGGACACCCACCCATATTATATTCTGGAATTTAAATGACCTTCCACACGCTTAGGTCGATTAAGATTATATTATGCTCAATACATTGACGAAGGAATAGTAGGATGCGTCGTACATATTGACTGTTGTGCGAGATTTGGCTACTTGGGTTACCGGCGACTTACCGCTAATTGGTTGTTGATTGCTAGATTTTACGACTCAATAGTACTAGAAATAATCCCATGTTAACGCGGCGACTTCCGCGTAGCATGTCAACATGATAAAAATTACATTATGGTTGCGCCCACAAGTAAACTGGGTGTTGGTTACGTGAACGGGAGACTTTTGTTGGTCCGCACGGGTTCTGGCTGTACGCACGGAAACTGCAAAAATTTTTTTTAATATTTTTTGAATTTAAATTGATAAATTATAATTTTACTATAACGCGGTGCCGTATGGGCGCCACGCGTAACCTCGACAGCGAACAGCGGTGAACCCGGATGAGGCTTTATTGCCGAATCTTAATGCGCACCGTGGCGCAGCAACACAAGACTATGAGGAAGGATCCTGCAGCCAGTGCAACTGTGCTGCAGGTCCGTCAAAACAGCGCAGCAATGCGGTGGAAATCCCCAGAAACAGCGAATAGCTTACTCGAGGAGGCGTCCCGCCCTTACATTACAGCCTTTTTTCCATTGATCTTTAGCCGCCTTCGTTATAAACTGCATTTCGTGGTATGCCACAGTCGAGGTATGTAAATCGGTATACAAATCACAGAATATAACGAAAATTTTGTCAGAGTCAAGGTTTTGTCAACCTTGCCGGCATGGCATCAAATGCGGCCTTCACACAACTTCGCATAATTTCCGGTTCATGTTATGGCTTTCGGGCCCACAGATCGACAAATGCGGTGACCTGTGCCATAACATATAGGCACCCGTATTCAGCGTTCTTTCTTTTTTTCGGCTCCCTGACCCCATTCACCACATTCACCCCTTTGTCTCCGTTCTAATTTAATTAAAATTCAGTGATCGATTAGGCGCCTCACTTCCACCCCATATTCCCACCCAAATATCGGCTTTAAATTTTTTTTACTTTAAGCGATTTAAAAAGGAACATTTTGGCCATGCACGCAGCCGAAACCTTTTCTCGGCCCCCGTGCATGCAGCATCGACGTAATAACCCTGGTCACGCCAAGTTGGCGGCATCCATTTAAAAAATTCCCATGAACCATTTGTTAAAAACTTAACCTTTTCCAACTTCTATGGTATGGCCCAATGTACCCCACATCGTTCAGACTCATGGGATCCAAGATTTGAGGGCGTGACGAATCATAGGAATATCAAAACTAAAGCAGCCCTCGTTGACAATGCGCTGCAGTCTAGCTACCGTGGCTGCTTTCCCCTTATTCAAAATTCATTTTAAATTTCCACGCATGCCTTAGCCCTCTGGCTTCAACTTAGGTAAGTTACCCACCCAGTGGTCCTTCTACTACACGTCACACCATTGACTTCGAGTCACTCCTGGGTCAGGACAGCGGTACAGCTGTGGGCGTGGTCAAAATGTAGGACGGTTCACTTTTCGAGGTCACCGTGCAACCGTGGGAAGTCTTTTTTGGCCATGCTTTACAAAATACAATCCAGAAGGAACTGGGCGCCAACGTTGATATCACCGTTCGCAAAATAAGAGCGCGACACTGCAGACTAAGAAATCCGAATGGCCACCTTAACTTTATTCGGGCACCGGTTGGTTTTCGGAGAAAAAACGATTCTGGTCCCCATGCCGTTTTGTGTGTATGGTCCAGCCGATGTATTTCAGCTTTTGTTCACGAAACAGTCTCTCAATTGTCCCCAAACTATTCTTCATTTCAAGCACCTAAAATTGTTCCTGATTTTCTGGCTAAATTAAATTCGTTTCAAACACTGCCTGGACTCGTTCAATCGGTGCCTTCGATTCGTTCGGTGTTCTGGAAGATCACCTTGCAAATGTATTGGTAGTACTGTACTATTTGATTCTGGAATATGTACTGCAGTATCTGTAGACTGTAGTACGTAAGTACTTGCTGTAAATTGCTTTCGCCATCGGTTGCACCACAAAACAGTCGATTTACAAAGTGTTCCCGACGGCTTACAAGTTGACTTACAAAGCGCTGCTGCTGCTGCAAATTGTACAGTATGCACCTTGGCACAGGGTCGGCCAAGATTACCTTTGGCTCCCCTTTGCCTTTGCCTTTTCACTTTGCCTTTTTCAACTTCACCTTTACCTTTGCCTTTGCCGCTTTCAAAACCTTACCGTCCTATTTATCCTTCCCAAAACGCCGTTTTAAATAACCTTTGCCGTCGGCCACAACCGTTGCATGACACAACACCGTCAAACAATTTACCATTTTCCGAACGTATAGTCGGCACTCGATATCCAGGTTGCGAAATTTTTGTTCTTATTGTTAATACAAACACTAATCAATAATATCGCCCTAAACTTAAATTCGATGATTGTGACCGTCATTACGCAGAAACTGGACAACTTATACCTTAAAGGTTGCATCGATTCGGAAAGGACTGTGGGTTGCAATTCTGAACCTGCAAAAAATATTTTAGAATTTGTTTAAAAAGTCGGCATCTTTAATCTGGTTAATGCTTTAGCCTTTTCGTGCAACGGGACAACATAGTTCGTTTAATCACTGGTACTGTAACAAAAGGATCAAAGGACAAAGCATCACTAACATTTCTGGTGCAATGATCTCAGCCCATTGACTGTAAGTCTGTAGGCTACGCTAGGATACATTCAGGATATCACAAGGTGCGTCCTACTGACAAGTGAGTACCATTTGTCCAATTGAACGCTGCGATCCTCCAGAAGTTTGAACAGGCTACGTACCTACCGAGCGTAAACATTCACCACGACCAAATCTAGTTTTATGAGGGTGGCAAAAATTAATACGCACATTCAGCCTGTAAGAGATGCACATACCGCTAGCCCTAGTGAGTGCCCTCAGTTCACTTAACCATTGACAGGTTGCTTATTAGACAATAGACATACACATATTGTATAC